ATTTTGAATAATACCGAGTTCAAATTAATTAATCCTGAACTCAAACCAGCAAGGCTCCCTTAATAAAATGTCTCAATTTCCATGGATCGGTATGTGTGGACACACATTAAAGATAGTCTGTTTTCTAGATTCCTCTAATAACTATGATCGCATGTAATCTCCTTATCATTGAATATCACTTGGCGCTAGAAATATCAAGAGCAAAAAATGTTCCCCCCACCCACTAGAGTTATAGGGTAAATTCAAATAAAAATTAAAGATAAAAGAAAAAGAAATCTAATTAATTACTATTCTAAGTAAATTACAACAATAAAAACAACATACAAAAATCCTAAAGTCCTTGGGATGACGCCAAACATGCAAAGGCGTCACTGTTAGGATATGGTGCTTTATAGAGCAACTTTATTTTTGACATTGAGGTATTATTTATAAAGTATTTATTATATTTGATTTCAATAAAATCATGTTAATTATTTTAGTGATACCTCGTGTTCTTGTGCTTATAGAATAATCGTTGAAATGTATATGTTGAGAACAATATATTAGAAGATATAATCGTAAGGACAAAAGCATGAAATTGAGTTGTTCATCTTACTCTGATAAGGTTATCATGTTTTCTATTGCCAAATTAACGAGAGGATTAATATGGGTTGTTTATAAAGATGTTACAGAATAAAGATATTTATGTGTTAAGAAAACCCTTGATTTTCGTAGTTGAAGGTTTTAGCTACTAAAAAATTTCGGTAGCAGAAAAATGGTCACGGAAAGTTTAACTACTAAAAATATTTTGGTAGCTAAGAGTTTCTGCTACTAAATTTTAGTAGCAAAAGCTAAGCAATTTGATCTCCTAAAATGGACTAAATAGGTCATTCAGGTAGCTGAAACTATTTTAATAGCTAGCAGCCTTGAATCTACTATCTAAAATTTAGTAACAAAAATTCAGCTACTTGAATCTACTATCAAAAATTTGATAGCAAAACTTTTTTACTACCAAAACATTTGGTAGCCAAAATCTTTTTGGTAGCCAAGAAGATAGGAATCCACTACCAAAATTTTGATAGCAAAAGCTATTTACTAACAAAATAGTTTAGTAGCAAAAATCTATTGCTACCTAATATTTTGGTAGTAGAAAATGCTTAGGATGAGATTTTGCTACCAATTTTTTGGTAGCAAGAAGTAATTAACAACTTTTTTGGGGGCATAAAGGTGACATATCTAGTCACAATACTGAAAGAGCATAATGAAAAACGGAAACTTAAAAAATGAAAGAGCAAACCAGGCAAAAAAGCTTCTTGAATTAGTATATAATTATAAGGGTTTATTATCGACAACTAAGTAATCAATGGAACATTTTGAACCTGAATATATTACAAGTAGGAGTAGATATTTTGCTGTGTAGGTTAAACTTGCAACTATTGTAGGTCTCGTTCAGTTTACGGATTCGAGTTTTCAATTCGAGTTGAGATGTGATTTTATGTGAAAGTTTTTCACAGTAGTAGAAAAAGTTAGATGTGACTTTTTGTAAGTGCTTTCAACTGTAGCGAAATGGGAATTGAAAACTCAAATCAGTGAAATGAACGGGACCGTAGATTGCAATTCCTTTAATCATTAATCACGGTAGGTTAAGTCGAAGTACGTTTGCTAGCCCGACGCTTACTTAAGTTAGTGATAAGCAAATATTAAGAGGAAGAAAGAGAAGAAGAAAAAAAAAAAAAAAAAAAAACCTAATGAAAACACTTGTGAAATGATATTAAGAAGAAATGAACATCGCCGGTCCATGTTTGGCATAAAGCCTTTTTATTTCAAAAAAAGAAAAAGGGAAAAAGATAGAACAAAAAGTGTTACAATTATGTTTTATGTTTGAGATGACAAAGACGTCCTTGGACACTGTACAATCCTTCTTTCACTCTCTTCATCTTCCTTTTTGACGACAAGATACATGAAAATTTATGACTTCCTGCACATCCCAAAATAAGATAATGAGGTTTACATTTTATCGTTGTTGAGTAAATAATTATATATATAAATCTCTATATATATATAAATATATTTATAATATTGACCCATTTACTTTTTTCTAATTAATTAGAATATTATCTAATTAATTAAATAAATATTTTATATTCATCTAAATTTTTAACTTATTTGGATACGTGATTTTTCAATACTCAAATCCTCTCTCTCTATTTTTTTTAGACCTCTTTAGGGTCCTTAGGTTATGTAAGTATTGTGGGTGTTCTAGTAATATTCACGTACCGCGTGCGAGCATCAGGATCATAATTCTCGATCCTGATCCTGTAGAACTCTATATATATTACTAAATTAAGGGTGTGTTTGGAGTTGATTTTACTTGTTTTTGAAAACGTTTTTACACGCTTTTTGAGGCATAAAAATAAAAACGGTCTACAAATCGTGTTTGTTTAGTAAATGTTTTGAAAATGAAAATAAAAACAAAAAACAGTGAGAATGCTTTTTTAAAGGAATTAGAAAACGATTTAAAGTTATTTTCCTTTTTTTGTTTTTATTTTCTAATACTTAACAACAATGTTATAAAATATTAATTAATAATTATAACTAAACACGATTTCACCGTTTTATTGTACTCAAAATAATCTCTTAACTAAATAATTTTATGGAGAACAAAAATAATATTCTTTTTATTAATAAATATACAATACTTTATTTCTCATAATATCATAAACATCGATTCTTATTATTAAACTTCTTTCCATCCTTTTTCTTTATAGAAAGGAAAAAAAGGACATATAAATCTTATGGTCCTTCACAAAAGTACTAGTATTTAAGACAATGGGACAGATTGCCAACATAGGAATCTCAATCTTATGTTTGGGAGTCATAATATTCAGTAATATGTAGTTTGTCAAACACTATTTGTGGGTAAAGATTGTGTGGTTTTAATTATAATTAAAAAAAAAAAAAAACGTTTTCTTGAAATTTAACATACCACTATTCTAGGAAAATATGAACAGGCACCCATTACCAACTGCCATTTTTGTAATACATAGCAAAAGTTAAAAAAGAGAAAAATAATAATAATAGCACATATCAGCAGTACTTTGGTAGTTCTCAAACCCAAATCCTCCCGTCCATTGTATCTATTAATTTATTTTGTTCCGTTTGTGCCATTTATTGAGGGGATGATGTGTCAATAAATAATTAGTTAGACAGAAGAATTGACAGATAAAATGGATAGAGAATTTAAGTTCGGAGTTCTCCACCTATAAATCAAGTTCGGGAATCAAAATTCTATGTAGCAATTAGGTTCTTTCTGGCAATCTCCAGTGACTCGTGATGACAGAAGAATTGACAGATATTTTTCTTCGCATCCCCTTTGGCAAGTTGTATTATTGTAGCATGGTCGCATATCAAGTAAATGGATCATTACCTTTGATTCTTTTAAAAGAAAATGATGATATAAAAATTAGAGCGACAATCCCAATTAATTAAATAATTAATTCTACTTAATATCTTAAACTTCAATTATATGAAATTTTAGGAAAAAGAAACAAGTGATATACCATTTTTTAAGGTTTTTGGAATGACTTTTTTTAGGTTGTTTTTTGCTTAATTAATTTCAAAATCTACTTTTACGTATGTTTGGATGATTCACTCAATTGTCTTTCAACTTTCATAAGATTTTCTAGAACAAGTCAAGTCTTTGATACTTATTAAGAGCGAAATGAACTTTTTTATTTACGTTTTTAATCTTTATTTGTGAATAACAAATTAAAAATATCATACATATCCTTTTATCACATTATTTTTTATAAGAACAAAAGCTTTTGACTTAAACTAACCAACTCTTCTAGATTCAAATAATAAAAAAACTGATTTGAATCTTTGAAGAAGATAAAGAAGATGAATACAGCGGTTAAGAGGCATGTATATTTATAACTCCTAACCATTTTATGAATACACTAAGTTGAAAAACTAGAAGCATTTATAGCATGAGTAATTGTCTCATTTGTCTATTAATGAATGGTTTTATGAATTTGGTATATTGTGCACTTGATTAGAGGCTGCAATTAAACTTTTTTTTTTCCTTTTCCCAGAGAATTTTGTTTTGCCTTTTAGTAATAGGTTTGAGGATTTAGTTGGCCTTAATTAGAGTTACAGGTTGGTTTCAATTATCGAATAATAGTACCCCATAATAAAAGAGCCCCGTCATTTTTTTTTTTTTTTGCCTTTTTTTTAGGAATCAACAAAGAAAATGCTTCCCCACTATAATTCAAAAAAAATTATATGCTTTTTGTTAGAATAAAAACATTATATGCTTTGAGGACATTTTTCCTAAAAATTTCTCACTCACTCTAAAGCATATGAGACATGCCCTTCATCTTAATCGCAATGTCTTCATAAACAAATCTGTAGGTTATTTTAACCGTAATCTTTAGGATCATCACATCACCTCTCTCGGTCTCTGATTAGTTGATATTTATTTTCTGAAACCTTATTTTAAGAGACAAGATAGAGTTTTTCTAGGACTCTGATAGGTGCTCTATAAATGGGAGGTTGTAGAAAATTAGAGAACACGTTTTTTTTTTTTAGTTTCTCTGTTAGTAGTAGGCGTGTAGCATGCTTAGTGTAGGCATGTAACACGCAGTTTGTTAGCATGTAACATTCTGCGGATGGGCATACAATAATTTCCTAAGTTCTCAATAATTCGAGGAACTAGTCGCACTCCCTTTGCTTAGATTCTCTCCAAGACTTTTCCCAAAACAACTCTTTACTGTTATGTTTACAATTCCACCCCTTATACAGCTGATTACAATTTATTCACATAACCACACGAGCAAACCAGTAACCAAAATTAATACCTAACTAATTACAGACGCCTATGCCTCCTAACAAACACCGTCCTAAGTAAAGGCTTACCAGTCAACTCTTCTACTTAAGTTAGAGTTTTTCAGAAAACCTTGAAAAGCGCCAACACATAAAGACTAGGAGAGAAAGAAGAGTGATAACATTTAAATTACCTATCAATCCTTGAAAATGCTGAAAACCTTCTCTCTAATTTCAGAATTCAAGTTTGCCTTTTTACCTTCCTTTATGTGTAACACAAAAGAGTAAAGACAACAAAGCTAAGAAGATAGGAAAGGACGAACAAAAAGCACATACAACCAGAATGAATTATAAAGACATTTTCAATGGACTGAAGAAAAACACAACATATCCCCAAAACATTGAGTAATGAATTCAAACATCGTATCCATGAAGCTATTCTTATAACACTTGAAGTCATACAAGTTTGGCTAAAGAGTATTCAGGAAAAAAAGAAACTAATTATCAAAATCGATAAAACTGACAATCAACACTCCAAAATTCGAGTGAAAAGATAGTTTTTCTAATTTATTGGAAAATTTTATATAGTAGGATTTTGACTAAAAGTTTCTGCGTATAACTCAGACGTTATAGTTTTACAGTTTCAGCATTTAAAATAAAGAATACGTTCAAATATTTATTGACGTATTTTAGGTGCATTACATATATAATTATCTTTCAAATCAAAATTCAGAGAATAGTACCAGATAGATAATAGTAGAGTCGTTCTTGATAGCAGCTGATTCCTCCTCCTCAATCACATAATCAATCATTTGTACGCATATACCAACCCAACTCCAATCCTTTTCACAATCAAATAACAAATCCCATTTTGCGTAATTGTTGGAGTTCTTCCTCCCTACATCACCAGACACCAATATATATGAATAATAGTATATTAATGTTAATTACTTCAGTCCTCAAAGATTACTTCCAAAAAAAAAAAAGAGTTAGAAAATACATACGTACCAAATTCAATTTATCAACTCCATATAAGAAATCAGTTAAAATGCTACGTGCATTCCGTCCTAGTTTCGAGCAATTTCTGAACAAAAATGTTTTGTAATTAAATAGAAATTCACGCCGAACTTGATATTGTTGAATGGAAATGAAAGGGCGAGTCACATGCCGTATGTTGAATCCGTAGCACCCCGAACTTGATATTGTCTCCAGAGAAGTACATCCACTTGCATTAAGATCTCTAACAGACGATGGAGGTTGTGGCAAAGATCGGAGCTTCTTGCAATTGTGAATGTCGAGTCCTTTCAGCCGATCAAGTTGTATGATGCTTGATGGTATATTCTCAAATGGGTTCCCGCTTAGATCTAACATGGTTAACGAGGATAAAAGGAACAGCCAAACTGGAATTTGTACTATATTGCAGTTACGTAGATCTAGCTGGAAGAAAGAGAACAATAAAAATTGCTTCATTTGGAGATGTTCAAGTTCCAAACACCGTGGCGGGACAAGAATTTTAGACAACTTAAATAATTAATCCATTTTGGGACAAACTCGAGTTTTTTGCACCAACTCATATCTTGACGACGGAGCCCAAAAAACTTTTCAATTATAATTGAGTTACTTAACACTTGGTTCCCTGTGAATTTTTTCAATCTAGAACAATCCAAAAGATAAAGGACTTTAATTGATATCACTATTGTGGTTAGTATATACCCATACAATTCCAAATAAATCTCTAAAACGTAGGTTGTTAAAGAACTTTAAGATGATGTTTAGTTCATGGATTCAGAACCATGACTTATAATTCTAATTTTTAAAATTTAAATTTTTTGTTACAGAAAACACTGTAACAGAATCACGAACTATGATCTTAAACCAGACATAACTCTTAAAACAAACGTCACCTGATGATTGCTAACCTCCGAAACTCTAGGCAAGAAATTCCTCTTAAAAGCAATTGTTCAGGTTTTTGGGATCTTGATCTTTGAGTGGTGGTGTGGTTGCCGGAAAAACTTGGCGAAAAGGACTCCCTTGAAGAAAGGAGTTAAGGAATTCGAGAAAAGCCCTACTCCTCTCTCACCGTGTTTTGTGTTTTTCTTCTTTTTTTTTTCTTTTTTCTTTTTTTGTCCAAATATGCCAGGTCATATCATTTAGTTAGTTGTAATATTATTTAACTTTTTTTAACATCTTTTTAAACAAGAAAGTCATTTTGCCAATTAAACTTTTGGGTAGTCATTTTGCAAATAAAGAAACCTCTTTATGTCATTTTTGCAATCAGCTCCTACAAAAACCCCTATCAATCTGTATGATGAGGAATGGCTAAGCAATTTCATGCCTACGATGTATGTTAACGATGCTAATCACAGCTCAACATCAGATTCAATATCACAAAAATATAAAAAGAACATTACATTTACAGCAAGTCAAACACGCAGGCCATGTTTAGTAACTTGTATTGTGTTATATTGTATAAAGTGTATTGTATTTTATTGTGTTGTGTTATCATAATACAGTAAAGTCCAAAACAAGTCCAAGCACAATAGGAGATGTAACTTGAAATCAGATTTTTCATTTTCAAAAGGAAGGTGTAACTTAAAAGAACACTACAGCCCCCCCTCACAAAAATATAAAAAGAACATTACATTTACAGCTAGTAACTTGTATTGTATAAAATGTATTGTATTTTATTGTGTTGTGTTATCATAATACAATACAGTGTTTGGTATCATGACGTAATGTATAAGAGGTCAAAATGTAATTTTTGAAAAATTTTAGGTTCAAAATATAAATTTTTAAATGTAATCTTGCAAAAGATTTGGGTCAAAATGTAATTTTTTAAGAATATAAATTTGCATTATGTCACCTCAATTTTTCATCAACTATAGGATCTGACATGACCCTATGTTTGCCTAATCTCCACCCCTAATCGTGCCCAACTCCGATATGAATCATCGATTCATTATAAAATACTACAATAAAATATGTCAAAAATGAGTCATATTCAATAATACGACATAGGTCGTATTAATTTATCATCTGTATTAGTTTATACAATACAATAGTCATATCAAACATTATATTATTACATTATTATGTAATACGGTACTCTAATACGATCAAACAAACATACCAGAACTGGTTTCAAAACAAACAAAATTTGGACGCCCTTTACGTTCATCAAATGACTTAAGATACGAAGAAATTCATGTTGTTTGAGCTTTCCAATAGCTCGTAACATCCCTTGGATCAGAAAAAAATACAAAATATCTAAATTAAACCAAAGAATAAAAAAAAAAAAAAATTTCCGTAGCCAGAATAACATTAGATCTGAGCAATGGACCATCACACAGTAGCTCTCTCTAATCCCCCTGATGATCATTTGAGATTTGTTAGCACAAACAATCCTTTAATTTCTTGGGCAACATAAAGAATTTTTATGTAAGATTAAAGAAATAATAGGAAAGAGAAGCAGGAGAGTATAATACCTTGCATCTTCTTTTGTTCCTTCAGCGCAACAAAATCAGTAACTTCATGATTCCTACGTAATATAATTAATAAAAGAGATATTAAGATTAATAGTAAGTGTTAAGTAACATGTATGAACTAACCAAAAATCTGATTTGACTAATGAGACAATGAATAATTGACCAAAATTCATCGTTGAAATGAAGCTATTATCAAAACAGGGAAAATTTTGTCATTTTTTCTCAACCAAAGTTGTCAAAAATGAAAAATCAAAGCAAAAATAAATACTCAATAGTTTCTTCATATCATATAACCGAGGAGCATTTCCAAAAGGATCCACTGGCGTTGATGTACACATCAAGACTAGGTCCACATCATTACAGAACGTGTAGTCTTAAACATGCTTGTAAAACTATTTGATTATGTAATTGAAAGAAATAAAACAAAAACAAAAACAAAAACAACACAAGAAGAACAAACAACATTAAAACTAGAAATGTTCTGCAAAACTCAAAGTCACAAAAATAAAACAGTTTTGTGTTTTCATCCTAGACAGAATACCGTGACACAAGATCAGACCACTAAATCTTCTCAGGTAACAACCATCATATAATAGCAATCTCTAATCATCTTGAGGATCAATTAAGATTTATACGTATAGCACAATCAAACATTTCCTGTGCGCGACATAAAGAATTAATTACATTCTTATTATTACTACGCACCCAAATTAAAAGAATTTATAGATAGCATGTAAAATTAAAGAAATAATAGGAAGGAGAAGCAGAGGAGCGTAACACCCTGCATCTTCTTGTTTTGCTTCCGCACCACAACACCTGCAACTCCATGATTCCCAAACAAATAATAAAAGATAAATGAGACTCCGAATAATCATCCAATACACACTACATGTACTATGTGGAAAACATTATAGTCTGTTAGCTATTATAGTGACTTTAATTAAAAAATAAAAAAAAATCTCTCGTGGATGTCGTCTAAGTATCAACTAACTGCAAAGATTGAAAATGTGAGACGCTAACTTTTTTTAATCATGGATGACATCTAGTTTATGTATTTCCTTAGATGATTTGCAATCATGTAATAATTCTTTCCTTATTCCCAAAACATTTGAGTCATGAATTCAAACATAGTATTTGTGAAGCTATTCTTCTAACACTTGAAGTCACACAAGTTTGACAAAAGAGTATTCTGGAAAAAAGGACTAATTTTTGTGGATTTGACCGCACTTGGTTTTAAGATGTAAGTCAAACGCAATTGGGCCTGCGCTTGCTGGGATTATAGGAGCAACAAAGCAAATGGCAAAACCCATCAAATTAGAATTATGCCAACCATGTGGAAGCTTCATAGTTGTTGAAGCCCCCTCGCCTTGATGCCTGAACCACTTTGGAATTTCATTCCCCGGATAACATACTTCAATTGTATGACGTCTTCCTTCCTACATCACCAGAAACCAATATATATATATATGAATAATAGTGTATTAATGTTAATTACTTCAATCTTCAACAATTACTTCAAAAAAGAAAGAGATAGAAAATACATACGTACCAAATTCAATTTATCAACTCCGTATAAGAAATCAGTTAAAATGCGACATTCATTCCGTCCTAGTTTCCAGCAATTTTGGAACGTAAATCTTTTGTGATTGGAAATGAAAGGGCGAATCACATGCCGTATGTTGAATCCATAGCACTCCGAACTTGATATTGTCTCCAGAGAAGTACATCCACTTGCATTTAGATCTCTAACAGACGATGGAAGTTGTGGCAAAGATCGGAGCTTCTTGCAACCGTAGATGTAGAGTGTGTTCAGCCGATGAAGTTGTATGATGCTTGAAGGTATATTCTCAAATGGGTTCCCGCTTAGATATAAGATGGTTAACGAGGATAAAAGGCTCAGCCAAACTGGAATTTCTACTATATTGCAGTTACGTAGATCTAGCTGGTTGAAAGAGAACAATACAAATTGCTTGACTTGGAGATGTTCAGGTTCCAAATACCCATGGCGGGACAAGAATTTTAGACAACTTAAATAATAAATCCATTTTGGGACAAACTCGAGTTTTTTGCGCCAACTCATGTCTTGACGACGGAGCCCAAAAAACTTTTCAATTATAAATGAGTTGCTTAACACTTGGATCCCTGTGAATTTTTTGAATCTCGAACAATCCCCAAGATCAAGGAATTGAAGAGACTTGCATTTAAAAATGTTGGTTGGGAGACTCTCAAGCTTTTTGCATCGTGAAAGATTAAATATCCTCAGGCAATCAAGACCCTCAATTGAAGATGAAGACACTTGTTCTATTGATGAGTCTATCAAATACAATCCTTCTAGATTCCTCGGAAGAGTTGCTGGAAGATGCTTGATATGTTGACAACCACGAAGGCTCAATTGCACAAGATTTTCTAATGACCCAATTGATGAGGGCACTTGTTTTATTGACAAGTCGCTCAAATTTAAATCTTGTATATTTCTCAGAAAAGAAGCTGCTGAAAGATTCTTGATACGTTGACAACCACGAAGGCTCAATTGCACAAGACTTTCCAAACGCCCAATTGATAAGGGCAATTCTTTTATTCCAGTCTCGTCTAAATTCAAGTATTTGATATTCCCCGATATCTTTGGGAGTGATTTAATCTTAATGCAGCCATGTAGTGTAAGAAATCCAAAACATCCTTGGAAATTGAGGGGAGGGACTTCAACTAAATTTGTACAGCCCTCAAGATTAATACTTTCTAGCTTTGGAGCTCGAGATTGATCTGGAAATTTGATCAGTTGCTTGGAATAACCAAGATTAATACGCTTCAAATTTCCAAGATTCTACAAGAAAATATAAATTAATTTTGTAAGCCCCAATAAATTCATAAATAAAAATGTGATTTTATGACAATTTGGATTATGAATTTTCCCATTAGTACATGTCATGATACTTTACTTGCAATAAGAAAATTATTATGTTATTATGTTATTTGATGATCAATTATGTAAGCATGTCTGAATAGGTGTGTTTTTAGTTCATGAATTTAAATTGTACATGAGATCTTTAGAATATAAATTTTTTAAAGATTTTTATCCCTGCTTAGTAATATTAAGTTAGAAGGATTTATTAGGAATTCTAAATGCTTGATGGTATATTCTCAAATGGGTTCTCGCTTAGCTCTAACGAGGATAAAAGGCTCAGCCAAACTGGAATTTCTACTATATTGCAGTTATTTAGATGTAGCCGGTCCAAAGAGAACAATAAAAATTGCTTCATTTGGAGATGTTCAGGTTCCAAACACCCGTGGCGGGACAAGAATTTTAGACAACTTAAATAATAAATCCATTTTGGGACAAACTCGAGTTTTTTGCGCCAACTCATATCTTGACGACGGAGCCCAAAAAACTTTTCAATTATAACTGAGTTGCTTAACACTTGGATCCCTGTGAATTTTTTCAATCTCGAACAATCCCAAAGATTAAGCATTTCAAGAGACTTGGATTTAAAAATGTTAGTTGGGAGACTCTCAAGCTTTTTGCATCCTCCAAGACGAAATACCCTCAGACAATCAAGACCCTCAATTGACGATGAAGACACTTGTTCTATTGATGAAATACCCTCAGACAATCAAGATCCAAGTTTGATTCGATATAATTGAATCCATTTCATCATTCACGGCCTCTCTCCAAAAGGAGGCATCCCTTGAAGTCATAGCTTCATTAAATGTCTTTGGATCTTCCTCTACATTAAGCAACAATGGTATTTTATTAAGTACACCATTTCTATCTCCTTCAACCAAAAAGGTTAAAGCTTGAGATGAAATAAAATCCAGTGCTAGGTTCTTTTCTTTTCTTTCACGTTGACTTCTTCTCGGTTTGAAAGATGTCATAGACTCTTTCCTTTTATTTGTGGAGGTACCGGGAACGTCAACATATGGTCGATTAACATTAGATTCTAATTCAATGGAAGAATCAAGGCTAAACTTGTTCTCAACAAATTCAACATCTCTTGATTCCACAACAACATTAGAATCTAGATTCAATAATCTATAAGCCTTGGAATTTTCAGCATAACCTACGAAAACACTTCTAATACCTCTAGCTCCTAACTTTGATGATTTAGGGTCAATAATTCTATAAAAGGCTAGACAGCCCCACACCCTTAAATACATCAAGTTTGGTTTTCTTCCTTTCCATACTTCATATGCAGAGACATGTGTTTTCATAGATGTAATCCTATTGTGAACATGACATGCAGTAAGTAAAGCTTCCCCCCATAAATTATTAGGCAATTTAGAATTAAGAAGCATAGAGTTAATCATATCGGTAAAGATTCTATTCTTTCTTT